CTCTTTGGCCGATGTGGCCGCTGTGACGGGTTACGTCAAGGACTCGGGGATCAGCATCAAGTACCTCGCTGTGACCAACCCTTCTGACCGTGCGACCCGGAAGCTGTCTTTGACCGCTCCGATCTATGCTGCTGTACACGGTGGCTTAGTGCTACCATTGAAAGATGTGGCAATTCAGAAGCCAGCTCCACTAGATGGAGAGCCTTTGATGAAAGTCAAAGAGCAGCTTGAGAAGGCCTACCAGGTCTTAGGCCAGCCTCGATGGTTGGCACTGGTTGGAAGTCCTCAAGCTGTCCCAGCGTGTAAAACCACTGAAGATGTGAATAACTCCAAAGAGTATGCTGTCACGGATTACCCCTATGCCACAGCCAAATTCAACTTAGATGATGCTCACGAGATTGCAGTGGGCCGTTGCTTTACGGACTCTTCCACTGCTGCCTTCCTCCTGGCCACACGTTCCGCCAACTTCGTGGCCTTGAAGAGTGATGGCGATTGGCGGAGCAAGATCGTTGATGCTGGGCTTTGGGGATTTCCGGAAATCCGGCAGCTCTTCTTCAACTCAGGCCTCGGAGTAGAATGGGTAATGCTTGGGAACAACATGGAACAACCATTCTGCGGGTCGTGTGAAGGCGCTTGTTTTAAACTGATGTTCTTTTCTAAGCGTGCTGCAGGCTTCACCCTTGCCAGTTGTCAGAAGGGTGACATGCAGCCCTTGCATCAAAAAGACTTCGAAGAAGACAACAAGACCATTGAGGCAGCAGCTGTATTGCACAAGGATCACTCTTGGTGGGGCGGACTTGGACAATGTGTCGGCAGGTGGGATTATGAAGACAGTCGCTCAAAACCAGACGAATGAAGAAAACCACAGCTTTTCCCCACAACCCCACCTAATAGAAAAAAGTCTTCATAAGTCTTCATTGGCATTTCTGGGTGTTAGCATGACCATGGTAGGAACACCAATGCCATGCTGGCACCTTGCGTGATGGTGTCCTTGGGTTGCCATGCTGCCGGGATCGATGAGGGCGTCCCCAGTTGCGCCTCGCGACTCCTGGCGCGTGGCGCAGTCTGCTTCACTGGCGCTGCTCGCTGCCCCACGGCCATCGCCACCCTGTGGAGTGTGGCCTTCTTCAACGAGCTGCTTTGCAGTGGATCTTCGGTGGGAGAAGCGAACAGGGAAGCGCACAACAAGTTCATGGCACATCACCTGAAAGGCATCCGGGTGCTCAGTTTGAGTTGTTAAATGTCCAATGTTGCAGGGCTGTCCGGGATCTCCCCTACCCATATGTGTTTCGTATCATATAATCATATGTTCATATATATATATATATCATATGATGAATTATATGTCAAAACCACAGCTTTCCAACTCAAATCTTCGCAGCCAAATCCGGAAGAAAAACACGCACATTCTATCACATTCACATACATTCACATGCACATGAACTCTTGTGACGTCCCACCGTTTTTGGAGGCATCAACTTGGGCAAATACACGTTGGTGAATCGCTTCACCTTGGGTGATCCCGCCTTACGTCCCTTTCCCAACGTTTCGATGGACATCACGCCTGCTCGGCATAGCTTCGGGCCGGGTGGAAGCGTCACAGTCTTTGGGCCTTCGTCCTGGAAGATGGTGGAAGTTCATCAGGATCAACTCAAGGAGGGGATGAAAAGCGTTGGCGACGGTGATAGGATGTGATAGGGATTGTTTGAAACGGGATTGTTCTAGCGTGGTATGAATTCTGATATTACCTAGATACACCTGGTCACATTAATGTATTTGGGGGGAGTACTGCAAAAAGAATATCTACATTTCCTCGGTGTTGTGATTTTTTGTGCCCCGGAAATATGATGTTGTGATACACTGTTTGTTTGTTGGTAGATGATCTGATGATATTTGATGACTATGGAAGTGCCCGGGCCCAACCCCCTTTCATACAATTCCGTTACAAATGTGTGCTTCCTGGTGGCAGTTTCTCCTCCCTTGCTTTCATACATGATTAAGAACATTTAAGAAATTAACCTTCTGAGATTTCCTGAGAATTGCCACGATTGGCTTCACTGCACTTTCCCCATGACTTCCTAAGAATTGTTCAACCCCATGGCTTCATACAATTTGCTCTAGGGCTGCTGGAGTTTCCTGGGATGGCCTGTGGCATTGCAGACCCCCCCAGCAATACAAAACAACCTGGGCCACGCATGTTCTCCCCAGAAGCTTTGTCGATAAACCGATTCTGTGATGTCCCTAATGTCCCTTTCCCTTTTGCACACATGTCTGCAAGTTCTGCCCTGCCGAACACGAGCTATGAGATGATTTGATCCATCTCCGCGACCAAAACCACAGCGATCGGGCGATCGAAGTCCTCCCTCCTGCGAAGGAGGCGTCCTGCATGCCGTGCGATCGGTTGAGCCCCTCCACATCTCTAGGCCGCAACAGAGCACCCTCCCTCCCGCCCCGCTCGCAACTACGCAACAAAGACAAAACACGGCTATTCACAGGTTCGGCGAGTCTTTTGGCTCCAGACTCCCTATCAAGACCACGTCCGTCCGTGCCGCTGTGCCGCTCACATTCATCGTCCTAGACCGGGGTCGGCAGATTTGCAAGATGTTGAGCCTTTACCGAGGCCTTAGCTAGCTGCTTTCAACATGTTTGATGATTGTTTTTTGGAAGCAAAGACATGTTTGGTCACTTTAGTCTTTGGTTTAGTTTTTGTGTTTTGTGCTGGATGCCGCTTGTTGCAGGCAGGGCTTTTGTCGGAGTGTGATTTGATCACAAGCGTGTCAAAGGAGACCGTCCCACCATTGTTACTGTAATGTAGCATTAACCCAAAGGAGGTGCATGGACTGAGGGTTGCTGAGCGATTGATTAGTTGCAGGAGTGGAAATACGATGGAAAGCTCTTTGATCCAGTGGCACTGGGTTGTGCTCCAGAAGCTGGGTGGTGTGGAGGTGGCTATGATAAACAGGAAGCATTTTATCAGCTCGCTATCAAGGTTCCAGCCAAGACCAAAGGTGCTGTGCTCACGAGCCTTGTCCTCGACAATGATGGAGAGGAGGTCAAGGCTGAGGACAAATCAAGTGACGTTGATCCTGTTTGTGGACAGTATGAGTGTTCCCAGTATGTGGACAATGGCAATGCCAACGATTGGCATTATGTCACAGTGACGAAAGATGAGAATGGCTACAGGTGGACCAACAAGGCAGGAGTATCATGGGGTCTTGATGAAAAGACCTTGGACATTTGTGAGGATTGTCCATACCATTCACAAGGTCGACATAACAACCCAAAACGAAATGCGTTCGGCATTGTAACGTCCATGAACTTTGGCGGTGAACACTACAATCGCGCAGACTACCATGGCTGTCCAGAGCTGGGTGCTGCCAAGAAGAAGGTGTGGTCCGGCGAACCGCAAGGGCTTCAGGAGTTGAGTGATGGGAAGAAGTTGTTGTTAGTTCCAGTGAAAATGATGGAATGCAGCCAGCAAGAAGGCACGATTCAATCCTTTCTCAAGAGCATCACTTTGCGAGTCCTCGTTGATGATGATGAGGAGGTGGATTTGCAGGTACTGAATCAGGATTTGGCGCCGGCACAACGAGGAGGTGGCCGTGGCGCGGCCATGGCACGACAGAACCGAGGAGACAACGAAGCCGAGGAATGAAATGTGAGAATCATTTTCATAGAGGGGAAGGCGGTGCCACCCCGCCACAATTTAATTACATGTTGTTTTCGCTCACTAGCTCAAGCTCACAACTTTATTGCAATGATGCAGGACATGAGGGGAACATCTATATAATATAACACCATATAGCGACTTGTGAAATCCATGAAGCAGCAAGACTGTAGTAGCGGTTTCTCTCTAGGCAATCTGGAACAACGAAGTAAATGTGTGGGCACAAACACGCAGTGCCGAAGGCATCCAACAAGTGAAGTGAGTGCCATCTTTGGTGTGTGTTGCTGGCCAAGCCAGCTGACCACGATCAAACGTCGGTTGATCTCCCAAGCGCGCGGCATGTCACCGCGCTTGCGAGAGCGGCTGCAAAAAGGCGCAAACGGCGCTCCGAAGAGGGGAGAGAACGGACTCCGAGCAAAGCAAACCTGGCATGTTTTGTAGGAGGATGGTTCGGGTCTGTACCTCGAACAAAACGGACACACGGTTGCTTCATGTTGCCTTCCTTTACCGATGTTTGCCCATGTTTGATCAGTCGGTTGGATGCAGCGGAAGTTCACGACCAGTGCGGCGGTGCGTTTTTCCCAACGTGTTTGTGATGTGCAAGGCCACGGGCCTGCAACAACTGGACAGCCATGAGGAAGATGTTTGGGTTCACAAGGAGCACAGACAGACGCACAGTCTAGGAGCTCTTCCAAACATTAGTGAGTGGTTGTGGACACCAAGAGTGGTGAATGCAACCAGACACACAAGTCCAGTCCAAGACTGCTGCCTTTGTACATCTTTGTACCAATTGTCGGCGGGCACGTAACCTGGCAGGCTGTGAACCAGGAGAAACAAAAGAAGACACGTCACATTGACTTGACAGGCCAGTTGGCATTGATATATGATTCAATATATATAACTATGACTATAACTATAACTATTATATGTTTAACTCTTGTTTGCAATCAGTGAACTCAAGGGATCAAGGAAGGGCGAGGCAGCGCCAGGACCCGATCAAGCAGGTGACGTGCTTCCAACTGAGCTCGATCTCGTCATTCCACCAAGCAGAACGGATGTCAATGTGTCGATCTTGGAGAAGCATGAAAAGAAAGCGCAAGGTGTGGTACGGTATGGTCACGATTGTTGGAAAAAAAGCGTGTCCAAGTTACACCCACCAAAACTACGGTCAAGCAGTGCATCAAACAAAAAAAGAACCCCAGGTTGTGGGGGGAACAGCTCTTGTTGAATGACCGCTCATGTATGTAGATTATCCGAAGTGTTCATGTCCTTTTGACCCTCGCATCATTTCGCCTCCCAATTCGATGCTATCCTTTGCTTGAATTGCCATGCCATGCCAGCGGCGGCTGGGCAGAAGAGGGAGACTTGGGAAGGAGGACCGCGGGGATGTGAGAAGCGAATGCCTTTGTGCAACAAGGATGGGTTTGTTTAGGAACATCTCAGCAAGACCCCCAACCAATGAATGAGTCACACCCGGCCTAAATGTGACGGGAAACGCAAAAACGATGAACAGGTACAACACCGGGCATTCCTTATAGAGCTCATGAGGTGTTGCAGTTTGCTGTGACCTATCAAGTGTGTGCGTGTGTTTGCGTGTCTTTGTTTTATGATGATGTAGTTCTTTAGACAAATTGATTTGCATAGGTGTTAGTTACGCCTAGCACAACAACACCAGTACGAGGCTGCCAACATGATGCAAGCGTCCTCCTATATATATACAGTTATATATACATTGACATATATAATATGGATCATTTGCCTCCCGCACACCCATTGCACACGAATTATCCCGGCAAACGAACAAGTGTGAAGGAAGAACTGGATCAACTGGAAACCCATTGTGCCAAGGCTTTACACCAGGCGAACACTTTTGGATCGTTTGTCTAGTGTCAAGTGTCCTCTTCTGTCTCCGATGCTTCACTCTTGCTGGCAACTGAGGCAGCTGCCAAGGGGACGAAGGTCTACGCCTTCCTGACATTTCACGTGAGGCCGGAGCTCTCTTGGATTCCTTCTTCACAGCTGTGGTGATGAGCATCGGTAAATGATGATGTTTCAATGACTGTGCCTTACTAAAGAGGCCGTGACTTTTTGTTTTTTGCTTCAAGATTACTTGTCATCCCATGCCATCTCTCACTGCCCCACGCCCCACATCGACAGGACGGGGCGCCTCGCGGCCTTCTGCGACGCCTGCGCCGAGCTCCTCAGCGCCTCTGCCAATGACGCGGGAAAGCTGAGGCGATCGTGGGCGATCGTTGTCCGATCCACCAAGCGGAAAACAGGTGTCACATCCGGAGGATGGGAACACATCGTCAAATTGGTCAGAGTTGAAGTCGACTGTTCTGCGAACCCGCCTACAGGGTCACTTGTTGAGGCAACATCATCAATCATGGGAGTTTAAAGATGTTTAAAGTGCTCCGTGGGTTGAAGGGTTTGAACATTTCGCAAGTTCGGGTAAGTTGTGTGGTTACAGGGTTGGTTGTTGCTTTGGGTGATGACTATTGGAAGTCAAGAATTACAGACTGGTGGACCAAAAGTAGAAGCGGTTCAAGACTAAGGGTCACTTGAAGCTCACTATGACAATGGGCGTGGAGTGTCTTTTTTTCCTAGGTCTTTTGCAAATCGCCCGAGGTGTGTTTGGAAGCGGAGAGTCGGAGAGTCAATGAAACGCCAGTCACGTCGATGGGGTCAATTGAGTTGCTGAGCAACACGAACAACGACGGCAGCAAGAAGATGAACATGAAACACAACATTGAAGCCAACTATGGTCAGGACATGTCAGGACTTCACAATATTTGGTCCCCTAAAGTCTCTTTTGATGCCAAGCAACAGAGAACATAGAGAACACATCCCTGTCGATCTTCATTGTTCTGTTTTAGTGAAAATTACAATGAGAAACCACATGAAACCACTAATCCGTGCCAACCCATCCTTCAGAGAGCACACCAGGAGATATGTCTCTCAGATTGTTTGATGTCAAGTTTTGTCTCTCAGCACCACCGCCGCTGCTAGGACCGCTAGGAGGCTAGGTTGTTTATATTTGTTTATGGTCATTCAATTCCACCATATTCCCACCGGTTGAGCCTTTTCAACCACGAATTGAACCGCTGTTACATACGCTTTGAACTACGTGCTCCTCTCATTTCGGATGACGTCCGTCCGTGTCCTGCCGTGGGATCGCCAGGATCGCTTTGCATCGAGAGCTGCCGTGGGCCCGCTCCATCTCCAACGAGGAGCGCGACGCTCCGGGCTCGATGGGGCGCTTTTAGCGCTCAACAGGAGATCTCGCATGTACAGATGCACACCATGTTTTTCCAAGGCAGGTGGTTGGTTGAGATGGATGGACCCCTATATATATATACTATATAGAAGACATCTTGGGGGTTGCGCCATCTATTCTCAATCCACTTGTAGACTATAGACTCTCATGTACATGTCCCGAACTCAGTTTTGTACCGAAAGTCTCTTGGAACCAGCATGGCATTTGATGTCAATCGATGCCGCGGGTTGGGGGGGTTAGATATGAGGCTATTCAAGGCATGCATGTTGGTGGACTGATGGTGATGTTGGTGCTGGAGAACTGTGAAAAGAGAAGCCCGGACCGCCTAGTGGGCCCGGTGACAGCGGGAGCCGGTTTCGTCGAGCGGCGAGCCGCTTCTCCAAAGCCCGTGCTACCTCAATGACCTGCTGGATTCATCTGGATGCCATCGCAGATACAGACGGGCAAGCTGGTTTGGGTTCCAAAAAACATGTATTATTTGGTCTATTTGGCACAAAGGGCTCACCCAATGCTCACCCAATGCTCACCTGCCTTCCAGGAGTTCATCCTTTTCATGATGGAGCAGGCCACAGTTGGGACCCGGATGAGAGTGACAGAAGCAGACGTGGAATCCACCAACAGAATCCAGTCCAGCAAGGAGAGCGAAAGGACCATCCAAAGGTTTGCTGAATAAATATCTATTGACACCCCTATGTTCCGAGCATTGTAGGACAGCATGCCTGTTGGTACAAATGATATGACAAGTTCAAGTAAAAGAACAGAAAAACCTGTACTGAGAGGTTTCTGTATTCTTCGCATGTCCACGTTGCCAGAAGGATACTCCACTTTAAAACAATAAGATAAGGAAGAGCATCGTAAAGCGATGACCCTGCATATGGGTGATGCCTATGTTTCTCATCTAAAAGGTTTGTCTGCATATAAATCGATGCTTGTGCCAAGCACATCCAAGCACATAACGATAACACATGCAATGCACATTGCACGCGAATATACTGTACAAAATCTGTGGCTAGTCAAAGCACAGTAAAACGAGAAGGAAGAATCAACAACGATAGAACTAAGAGTTCCGTAGGGAAAGGCAGAGGGGTTTGTTGGCAGATGCTCAATGATTCTCTTTCAAGTTCATTGAAGGTTCCTTGGTTCATGGTTCCAGGGTTCCATGAGTTTTCCACCATTCTTGCAGGTTGGTGTGATATTACAGATTACTGGATTCGTATTTCTCTCGCCTTTCCGAAATGAATGAAGCACCAACGATCTCGGGCTGGTCTGTCTTCAGACCTGGGCCTCCGGCACTCACTTGGAAGAGCATACATGTAGGGCGGCCCAGTGGCCCGTGGATGGACCCAACGGGGGTTATACTCCGTGGGCCGTGGAGTGTGGCTGAAACCACCGCCGCGTTGGAGTGTAGGCTGGATCGCGGTTCCGCGAGAAATCTCAGGGTTTTGCAGGGGTGCCAAGTGGTTGATCGACCTCTTCTCAGCCAAAAAGGCCGAGTCACCGTGTTACATCAACAAAAGACTCGTCCGTCCGAGGCTCTCCACACGCTGTGCGCTTCAATGAAGCCATCCTGAAGCAGAGGAGACCGCCCATGGGTGAAAATAATCCGTTTGGAGCCCACACGGTGAATGCGAGGCTTTCCATCTCGGTTTTCCATTTTTGGGGTCACCTGAGATGAGGAGAGCCTGGATATTGACGGTAATTCGGGTGCCGGATGGTGGTGCAGAATTTGTTCCAACCCACGACTGTGCCTTTTTGCCTGTGGCCCATGCATACACATGTTTGCGCCGCCTGATCGTTTTCCACCTGTGTCTATGCGGGTGCGAACTCGCCGAAGCCAACCCAAAGCAAGCAGAATGGATGGACTACCGTGGATTGAGGGCAAACTAATGGATATATATATATATAGTTATAGTGATATGTTGCAATACCATATAATAACAAACTTGAAGGATGTGCTTGTTCTTTTGTTCATGTTTGTCCTTCTCTGCTTCGTCCACCTGTTGCACCGCGGAAGCCGCTCCTTCATCGCTCCACCCTGGCTCCGCCGGTGGACGGCTCCATCGCAGGATGCTGGTCACTGAGCCCAGCGTGAGCATCTTCGGGGAGCCCCTGAGCAGCACCCAGCTGGCGGAGCTGGGCGCGGAGGCCGGGCGCTGGATCGATTCCGCGGAGCTGGGCGTGCTTGGCAAACGCCATGAACTTGCGCGAAAGCAGAGCCATGGGAGTCCACTGAGCTCGCTAAATCCTTGAGCGACGATCTACTTGCAAGACACCAAGCAAAACGCAAAAAGTCAAAAAGCGAGAAAAGTCAAAAAGGTAAAGGATCCGAAAGCACGCAGCGAGACTTTTCGACTTTTCGAGACTTTTAGACTTTTCGAGACTGTTCGAGACTTTCTGACTTTTCGACTTTTTGATAATACTTCTCGAATCTTTTCGACTTTTCGAGATTTTTGGACACCAGTCACATGCCGTGCCCTTCAACAAAAGTCTAGCAGAATTGATCCAAACGTTGCTTTTGCATGCTTTTGCTCCTACAGCAAAAAAAAGGTATAGGTTGCTGTTTTCCAGACATCTCCAGCCGTGTCAAAGTGAGTCAGTCTCGAGCCTTCAAAAAAGAGACGCCCGCCAAAAGGACCCGGCAAGCCCCAGGACCTTTTGGCGGGTGACTCTTTTTATCATCGTTGCCACTTTTTATGTGAAAGAACCACTCAGTTAACCAGGAGGAGATCCTCATCGCTTTTGACAGACAAATGTTGCGAAACTTGTTTGCAGGCCTCCGCACAAGAAGCCGCGGAGGCTACGCTACATGGCGAAGAGGTGTGATTTGCATTGTGAGTTGTGAGCTGGTAGCTGCAAACTAGCTAATACCAAGACAATATACTCTAGGCAATATAAAACGACGTCACCGACGTCACCTGAAATTAACGAGCAAGCTGAAATTAAGGTATATGGTCATACTAACATCACACACACACACACGCAAAACACACACACACACACTTCATCGACTTCACAGTCCTGGCAGAGATTTTGGAGGCGCGGGCGGGCGTGGGCACTGGATCTAGGACTGGATTTGCATGGGGAAGAGGATGTCAGTCAGTTGGAGTTTTGCTTGAGTTTTCGGGCTCGAGTTTGCAAAAAAATAAGAAGTCATGCCTCACCTGCTCACTCTCCACACCACTAAAAAACACTGCCCAATTTCGAGGTCGGGAAGTTTTGAAGTTCTTTTAGTTGTGCCCCCCATGAAGCGGCCCTCCAGCCATGATGAGTGCCCAACAACACCTACGGACCGCGTTCGGCCAAGCGTGTTCCCTAGCCCCAAAGCCTCTCAGAGACGGACCATTCAGCCAGATCTTGTGGACGGAAAAGATCCTTGGAACTTGAAGTAGTGATGGTTTGGTTGTTTTCCCTTTCACACCCAACCTGACTGGTTCTTTCCTGGCCAAATCGTTTTTGGGCCTAGTTCGCCGAACTAGGATTTGAGGCCTGGCGGCCTTGAAAGTGGATTGTTGGGGCTTTATTAGGTTGTAGCTCGGCAAACTACGCTGGGAAAAATTGGTTTTGGCTAGCTTTCCTTTGCGTGTTGTCAAATTTGTCTTGAAGCAAGATTTTGGGCCAACGAAAGGAAACAGGAGGGGGGCAAGGGGAATCATAAACTTTGCCGAGCTCATAGGTGAAGCATGTGGTCCTAACGCGAGTTTGCTTCACTACAGGGGCTTGTTTCAAGTTAGTTGTCGGGTTTCCCCATCTGGGCCTGGAAACGAAGCTCTCCTTTTCAGAAGGGTCCCCAAAAACGATTTCGGGCCTAGTTCGCCGAACTAGGATTTGAGGCCTGGCGGCCTTGAAAGTGGATTGTTGGGGCTTTATCAGGTTGTAGCTCGGCAAACTACGCTGGGAAAAATTGGTTTTGGCTAGCTTTCCTTTGCGTGTTGTCAAATTTGCATGTACTAGCCAAGCTGAGGAAAACACCCAGTCAGAGGAAATGGTGGTCTTGCACTTGGTGTCGCGGACCTCAAGCAATAGTTTTCCCTCCCTGGCAAAAATCCATTGTGCTTGCTGAGCTGGCTCTTGATCTTTGTACGAACGACCAAACTTATTGCTAGTGAACAAACTACACGAACAAAAATTGTGTGAACCACAAAAGACCCACTGCAATCGCTCCAGTTCCACTAGCCAGAGCCTTCTCGCGCGCAGGTGGACACGTGGCTTCAGCTTTGGTCGCCCCTGGCTGGCCAGCGTGTTGGCTGGCTGGGGGCGTTAGGGCACAACGACGTCACCATAATTTCGTAATTTCGACGACGTCACTAAATTCAGTTTTTGAATTTAACGAAATTAACCGACGACCCAGGAATTATTTTATATTGCCCAGATATACTGCACGTGCTTCTTGAGGGTAATGACTAAATGGATATCACGTCTAACATAAGTTTATACATAAAGGATCAAAAAGGGCCTTTCTTTACATGACTCAACAACGTGTAGGTTGATGCTTCGCCGCAGCCTTTCATGTTGACTTGGAGCTGTCAGAATATCGATGGTTTAGCTTTCATGATTAGCTCCTGACCGGAAACTGTGTGTGTGAACTGATACAGCCAGCTATTGACGTGTCACTTGTAGCGTCCAACGTCAAGACGGCCGCAGACGGGGCGCACTGTTCGATGTGGCTCGGACGGACCACCACGCAGCATCCGAGCGATGTTGCTCGCTTTGGCTCGCTGTCCACGGCTCCAGCTGTAGGCGTGCCATGGCAGGTTGTGGGTGTCAAGCCAGGAAACAAAGAGTTGCCTCATTTATCCATATATATCCCATTAAACATGCTTGAAAGAACATTACTTATCATGACTTAATGTCTATACTTTCATTATTCAAAGTGGGATCACTAAGATTCATTACTAATCACTAATCGAACAGAGATTCTCAGCACGTCGCAGTACTACTTGAGAAGAATCGCCCGAGAACCCATCCAGAAGATCACCAGTGCCCTTCGATTTGAATTCGTCGATTCGTTCCCTTCCTGGTGCCGTGCATGTGGCCCCTCGGCTCAGCGCATGGCCATAGCTTTGCACCTTGGCAGTCAAGGGATGTGAAGATGTGGCAATTGCTCTTCAGCAGTGGGATTTGAAGATGTCCCTCAGTCACTTGCCCGCACACGTGGTGCCTCACTTCTTGAAGCTCCTTGTGCTCCTTTGGCGGACGGATCTTTGCTTGTGTATGTCACATCGCGTCAGGTAGAATGGCCGAAGAGAACTGTGAGATGCGCGGAAAGGCACCAGAGTGTCAGTCCTAAGTTCTCACAAGTTACAGCTGGGGCTCACCCAGAGATAAAGGTTGACGCACGCCCAGCGAACGTGTTGAGCTACTGTATGTTCCAAAGGCCAAAACGCACCAAAGGGTGGAAGGATCTCCCTCTTGAAGTTCCATGCCCAATCGAATGCACCAAATCGGTCGAACGCAGGCGATCCGTGTAAATCTGGGAGTGGAAGGCCAGTCTGTCCGCGGGCTCCTCAGTTGCTGACAGCTGGCGAGATATGCCAGCTATGTTGGTTGGTTGATTGCAAGGACCGGTGTGGAACGAAACTTTGCATCAAACAGAGGCCTGTGAATTTGTTTGTCAATATTGAGAAGCATTGAGACATGGATGCCAAATTGTGAAACACCATGAGACACGTTGGAAAACAAATGAGAGAGATAGCACATCCTGCCAGCCTACGTCTAGTGATGCTGCCACGAAAGGCTGCCACCGTCGTCATTGTTCAGTGGGCCTCCCCCTCACGCTCTAGGTTTGGGGGGGCCTCGCATCAATCCTCAGAATCTTTAGCTCCTTCAAGCATCAACCCTTATCGTCTCGCCAGCCTTTGCTGGACGCAAACATCCCAAGCACTCTTGCTGGACCTTGTGGAACTGGCGTTTTGTCGCTGCACTGACCTTCTGGTCACTTCTGGCTATCCGGGCCGCTGCGCCTGATCATTTACAGACTGCTCATCTACTGTATGTCTACTGAGGTCTTCGGAGAAATGCCAGTAACTGCCTACTGAACATACTGAACCTAAGCCTACCCCAAGCCACAAGGGAGTTCACTGCACAGGGTGCCCTGGCCCTGGAATCCTCTAAGTACCTATAGGATCCTATAGGAGAAATAGTAATCCAAACTGGAAAGGGTAGCTGCAAGACATTGTAGTAACACTGGGCTTTTGATCCATCTTGAAAGATAAGAATAGATCTGGTGCTGGACAAGAAGCGCTGCTGACTGCTTGCTTCATTGATTGCCCTGTGCTACAAAGTAGTGCAATGTACTACAAAGCAACGTGCAATCAACGATCAGACGAAATCGGACGATACCGGAAACGACGGTCCGTGTCATCCGTCGGTCGAACCGTCCGAAACGGTCGCGTCACGTTCGGCGTGGTTCGGGCGTCGCGCCTTCCAAGGTGATCACACTGCGGGATCCGGAGTGGCGTCAGAAGAGACGACACCAGTGCCCAGTGGGTGGTGCCAGGGGAGTGGGGAGATGGCAGGCGCGTGCGAACGCGTGAGAACACCCCTGAAGCATGGAGCTTTAGGGCGCCGCGGCACTCGAAGAAAAAAGAGTATAAAAGGGTTTTCTTTATCATAATTTATCACTGGGTTCATTTGTCTTCTGGTAGTTCCTGGTAGTTGAGTCTTGGAATTCGAATGTTTGAGTAAGTGTTTTGAACCTATGTGGGCTAGTACAATAACCCCACGCTCAGCATATTGGCCTGCCCCTTAGCACTACCAATGCATTGCTGGCCCAGAAAACGATAAGAGGTAATGGGAGGATACCCACATGACTGGTTTGAGCTCATCACCTCTTGAAGGAAATTGAAAGGAAACGAAAGGAACATGAAAGGAAACACATGCAAAATGAAAGGGACATGAAAGAAAATGAAGGAAAATGGATGCAAAATTAAAGGAAATGGATGCGACATGAAAGGAAATGAAAGGAAAAGATTACATTTGTTGACTTTCGACCAAGGATGCTTTCACACCCACAGAAAGCTGGAAAACTCACATTTCTAGTACAGAGAGCCTGCCGCTGCCCCATGTATGCAATCGCGTCTTCTGATAGTTTATCATTTGTTGCACAAGAGTAACAGAAAGACAAAGCACGCTTGCATGTGGTCTTTTCTAAGAAACTTCGCTGACATCACTGTTGCTCGGTCGCTTCTGAACGGGGTCGCTCGGTGGTGGCCTTGAGACTTGCGACTTGCAGGGCTTTAGGATCTTTAGGGTTTAAGGTTGCCAGGTGATGCAAGGTTTATCAAGATGCAAACGGGAAGGATTCGGAAAGATAGACATGTTTGCACTCGTTCCCACAAAAGCAGGTACCGGCGGCGGAAAGTGAGGCTTTCGGGTGCGTGGGGAGGGATGGGTGATGCGTCGAACGCTGTGCCCAGGGATGAACAATGATGCAAGCAAGTTAACAAAAAAGACATGAGCAACGACCTAAAGGGTTTGTGCGCAAATATTTTTGTGAGAAACTATTTCATTGAAGTCATCCCAACACCTGTAAAGCGATATAGTGAACCCCCGAAAGCGATACCTTCACAATGTACACTTCAATCATGTGATTCAATCAATTCTGTTTCTTGGCTTTGTTTTCGCTTTGCATGAAGCGATACCAAAGCGATGCCCTTGGATGACCAAAATGTGGTCTAGATGAGCGGATCCCCTTTCGTAGCATGTTCGTATTATGTTCACAGTGCCTGTGGAGTCTGCAACAGATGAAGAGCTCTATAAAAAGAACTGCATAGACTAAGGGGGAAGGGAGCGCGGATGTGTCAATGGAAAGCTCTCTCTCTCTCTCTCTCCGTCTTTCTTTCTTCCTTCCTTCCGCACCCTGTAAAGCGATATAGCGATCCCCAAAAGACCAACATATGAAGTATACCATGGTGTACCAAATTTTATGATAGGCTTTGGCGATCGCTCACATCTTCTTTGCAAGCCCACGGTGCAGAGTAAAAGACAGAAGGAGAGGTTGAGTAGACTCTAACTCCCATTTATATCAAAGACCATGTTTGCATGATTTTTCGGTCCATGCATCACACCAAAAAAGCGCCAAAACGCCCGCCAGGCCTACAGCGATGGTGATTGGCATGAAAGTGAAGCATCTGTGACGTCGCTGGGCGGAAGGACCAAGTCGGGGTGGAAGGACCGAGTTGGGGCCCGAAGTAAGGTGGGCTCAAATTCTTGGAGTTTGCAGTCTCATGTTGCTATACTGTATGTGCATATATACATATCATTATTTGTCATTTCAAATCATGGAATGATATTCAGCTCACTAGACTTATTTGAGCACTTCTGACAGGGGTGGCTACACCCTTGTGACCAATTCCAGGGTTTGGGGGGGATCATGTGATTGGTGCCACCAAGTCAATAATAATTGAAGTCGTTCAAGAAGACCCAACAGAAACTGATAATGCTGATATTCCACACATGGGTCTCATGGTGAAGGACTAGCTGGAGAGCACCAGGATTGACGTGTTCAATCATGTTCAATGTGTGTCCTGTCTTTGAACTGCTCACGTTTCTTTCGGGATGACGAGATTCTGCCGTGCACGGCATCCGTGAAAAACGCAGATGGACCCAGGTCAGAACCTGAAGACGGGCCTGATGTGGCAACACCCAGCCAAGGCACGTGATGCGTTTGGAAGCGTTTGGTTTCATGTGTTGGGGAGGAAACAGATCAACATTTGGAGGGCGTTGAAGACCTTGTCCCACTGTACTCTGTCCGGAAGGCTAGAAGATTTAGAAGGCAAAGTTGATTTCCAATGTTTAGTTAAAGCGTTTGGAACCGAGAAGGCCCCTTTGCAACCGAGAAGGCCCCTTCCTTCGCTTCCTTGGCCAGCATCCATCCAAGCCGCTGCACGTACACGGCTCACGAGGCTCAGAAAGATATACAGAGGAGTCTGTCGGCACAGCGTCGGAAGTGGATGTGGTTGGTGATCACATAGAGCCGGTGGCCAGCAACACACCCGACAACGATGCTGTGAGTGAAGCAGATGTGGAAACTCCGGCCGAAGTACCTGCTGAAGCGGAGGTCCAGATAGATGTCAACGTTGCGAGTGCGCTAGCCGCACATGCGGTTGAAGTGGAGGAGAGCGCTGACGAGTTGCCCGACATCGAGGAGAGCAGCGAGCAACCCCGAGAAGACCAGGAGCAAGGTACGAATGCTATGGAGAGTCCCTCGGATGTACTCGGTTATTCCTTTTGATGTCACATGTGTCAAACATCGTCAAACAAACACAGTCAAATAATGAGTCGACGGGTGATCATCGGTCACATTTTGGGGGATGACTTATGTGGACATGGGATCTATGCCGCTCCTATGACCCACACCAACACAATCGATTCCGCTGCTGAATCAAATCGCCAACTGGTGGATATCTCCTCTTTGCTCAGGTCCGATCGAGGTTGAGCCTGAGGATCCTCAAACTCCAGCTGAGGATGAGGACGAGCGAGTCCCGGGAGAAGCGGAAGACGAGGACAGCGTCCTTTTTCGCTCAGTAATTTAATCCGCCAAGAGAGGAACATGAATTCCAATCTAATTCTCAATGGTCAGTCAAGTGAGAACAAATTGTTTATTGCTCTCCATCAAAACTGTGAATGGGGGTCAGAGTCTTTCTTGATGGAGAAGTGAAACACACCTGGGTACTTGGTGAAAATGTATGGATAATTATACATAATTATGGATAATTAATGATAATTATGATATGATGGATATGCTGTGTTTATACGTGTGTATGTTCCCCAAACAGTGTGGACACACTTAGGAGTTCTTACGGTAGGGGTTAAGCACCTGTGCTTAGATCGCTGTGCCGCGCGGCCGTGTCCGGCTAATTCGCTGCTATTTACGGTACATTCATGTCTCTCGAAATCCTCGACGTGCTTTTCGACTGCGCAGGCTCGCAAAATCTGGGTGTCCGCGGCGGGTGCTTCTAACGACTGCGCTCTCGTTGTGGTGCCGTGCGCATTTTCGCACATGGTGGTCACTTTTCGTGGCAGGCGCAAGGGAAACCTCATGTTTTAGTGGTCTAAAGTCGACTTTTAGGGCTTGGAGCGGCTTTACTTCGAAGTGCAGGCTTCGTGGCAGGTGCGGCACTTTGGACATGGTGGTGATCTTCGAGGAGCTCTGATTTCGTGACAGGTGCAGTGAATCGTGACTTTTGGACAGGTGGTTTGTTTGCAGATTTCGTGGCAGGCGCAGCACTTGGTGAACCTCGAGGTGCAGATTTCGTGGCAGGCACAGCACTTTTTGTGAACCTCGAAGTGCAGATTTCGTGGCAGGCACAGCACTTTGTGAACCTGGAAGTGCAGATTTCGTGGCAGGCGCCGCACTTTGTCCTCTCAAATGCTCACCTCTCGCTCTCAAGCACACTCACACTCACACACTCAGTCTCACACCCACACTCACTCTCACTATCTCTCACTCACACTCACACTCGCACTCACACTCACACTCACCCACTCACTCTCACTCACACTCACTCACTCTCTCACTGTCACTCACACTCACACTCACACTCACTCTTACTCACACTCACTATCTCTCACTCACACGCACATTCGCACTCGCACTCACCTACTCATTCTCACTCACACTCACTATCTCTCACTCACACTCACATTCGCACTCGCACTCGCACTCACCTACTCATTATCACTCACACGCACTCACTTTCACTCTGACGGAACTGAATGCCACATGCCACACGCCAGCCTAGGAAACCCAAATCCTGAAAGGCCCAGGAAAATCCTGAAGGGGCCTGGTCTTCAAAAGGAAATGGTCCAAAAGCGCAAGTCGAGGTCGAGGCGACAGGCTGACGACGGCCGCTCACATCTGCAGATGCATTAGCGCTTTACCAAAAGATTAAAATGCGCAGGTACGTCCAGCTGGCCAAGCTGGATATCCCATTTCACTGGTAGCTTTGTTGGACACAGTCCCAGTGAAATGCTGTGTCCCCCTGCGGAAGAAGAAAAGAAATCAATCCAATTGGATCCCTGTGATTACAAGGGGCACACACACACGCCCCCCGAGGGCTGGCAAAATTAAGGCTAGGGCGAATGTGCAAATGTGCACGCAGCAAGGACAAAAGGATGAAGACATGAGAAGGAAGACGAGACGGGACAAAAGTGTGTGTGGTTGCGATGAAAGAGAAACCAAATGCACAGGGACAACCGATGAAACCTCATTGTCGAAACCTGGGCGACCTGATACCTGAGTTAGAAGTAGACGCGCGCGTACACACTAAGGCCCGGACCGTTGCACGCGCAAAAGAACGAAAGGAGTGAGATGAAAGGACATGAAGCAAGGGAAGACATGATCAGAAAGAGGAAAAGAAGTGTGTGAAGGGGAAAGGATGAAAAGGGAACCAAATTGGGGGGCACGGGACCCGATGAACCCAAACCTCATTACAACGACCTAGGAAGACCTACCTCGTTAAAGTGTATACGCTGTGTGTGCACCTGAGAGTGCGACAGACTCCAATGAGTCTAAAAGAACTTAGGTCGCTCTGACCACGGTGAGGCGTTAAGCCAGCTTGGACCGCTGCGGTCACGTAAAGGCATGAGCCATCTTGGAATTCAATAATCCGACAGGTCTTGGCAAATAACTTTGCATAAGCCTCCTGCTGTCCGCTTTGAACACCTACGTTCCCAGGCAAGGGGAACAATGGACAAACCCCCGTTTGACGGGTCCACGGGAGGCACTCTACGGGCTCATCCCGGGCTGGCCGAGGCCAGACACACTTATGGATATGCGTACGGAACTGAATGCCACATGCCACACGCCAGCCTAGGAAACCCAAAAAAGGAAATGGACCCAAAAGCGCAAGTCGAGGTCGAGGCGACAGGCTGACGACGGCCGCTCACATCTGCAGATGCATTAGCACTTTACCAAAAGATTAAAATTCGCTGGTGCGTCCAGCTGGCCAAGCTGGATATCCCATTTCACTGGTAGCTTCGTTGGATACAGTCCCAGTGAAATGCTGTGTCCCCCTGCGGAAAAAGAAAAGAATTCAATCCAATTGGATCCCTGTGATTACAAGGGGCACACACACACACACACCTCACAAACACACACTCACACCCACTCACTCTCACTCTCACTCACACTCACACGCACTCTCACTCTCTCACTCACTCTCACTCTCACTCTCACTCTCACTCTCACTCTCACTCTCTCTCTCTCTCACTCTCACTCTCACTCTCACTCTCTCACTCTCACTCACACTCACACTCACACTCACACTCGCACTCACTCACACTCTCACTCTCTCACTCACACCCGCCCGCTCGCTCGCTCGCTCGCTCGCTCACTCACACTCACTCACTCACTCACTCACTCACCCACACTCACACTCACTCTCACTCACACTCACACTCACTCTCACTCTCACACTCACACTCACCACCACCGCCACCATCACACGATCTCCACCTTCATCAACGCCATCACCTTTGTGGACCCCCAATGCGTCTAGATCTCTAGACTTTTTGCTGCTACACCTCTAGAATTCACACGCCCCTGTCGCTTTGGCTTCTTAAAGCTCCCTATACTCTCCCTAATCTGTCACACTGGGTTTCTCTCGTTCAGGACGCTCCACAGGAGGATCCGGTGGCCGAGGTCGACCCCGAGGATCCAGTCACCGAGGAGGGCTATACCTCCATGGAGCACTCGTACCATGCGTCCGACGAGGGCGCGGACAGCGAGGCCTCCGACGATCCGATGGATGAAGAACAGGAAGCGTCGCAGGAAGCACTGAAGGGTGAGCTGGCTGAGAAGGAGGAGGAACACGACAAGCTGGCGTCACAACTGAGGCAGATGCAGCTGGAAATGGAAACTTTACGAAAGATGCTGGAGCAAAACCAGCAGGAGTTGGCGAATTCCAGTCAGGAGTGGCCCGGCCACTCATGTTTCGAAGAGTGTTTGGGCATTGAGTCATTTACTGTAAGTCCTTGATTGGACAAAAATGTTTCTTTGATTCTGACGGGATTCTCATAATCAGAACATCCTCAAAGATCATGAAGGATCCCATTTGGGGGGAATTGAGATCACGAGAAGATACAAGAAGACCCTATTCTTTTAAAGGAAAATTCAGCACCAAAGGTTTGAAGGGCTTTGGGCCTTGGGCCCAAATCCTTTCTCGGCACCATGATGAGACATTCGAGAGGATGCTCACGATGTTTGGAGTCATATCCAACTATGTGATGTGCACATAGAGAGACGGAGAGTATGTCAGTTACAAGTTCACGACAGTTCATATAAGTTCCAATATCACTTGTGGTATCATTCATTAAGAAGACGTGGAACCCGCCACACATCCCATGGGATTTGAAGAGAAAAGTCTCCCCTTCTTTGCGGTTTGCAGGAACTGGAGAAAGCGCGAGCTGAGCTCAATGACTTGCGAAAGCAACAAAACGAGTCTGCAGCGGCATCACAAGCGGAGCGGGAGGCCTTTCGACAAGTCGCAGCCAGGCAGCAATAGATTCGAAGGAGTAAAATATGGTACAGTAGATTCGAGGTGTGGGCATTGTATGTGAATAATATAGTTTATCATATATAATAGTTCAAAGGAGCGCACGGCGCACGATCCTATTGGAATTGATGGAGGGTGTTTGGGGTGGAATGTGAACATCTCACTTTTATGAAGTGGTCGGTGGTTCTCGCATGTGGCTGATGTTATACATATAATGAAATTACTGTATATTATATATATAGTTATATATATATAGGCTGAAGTTCAATGGTTGTTTGTAGGCTGATGGATCCTGACATTAGTAAAGTGAGTCAGCCTTAACCACATCAGTCTTGCTCAGTGCAGTGATTTGTCATTGCCGTTGCTTGGTATTGTGGGATGAAAGGAGAAGCTGATGAAAGACAAGAAAAGCCTACGAGAGCAGCTTGAGAAGATGCAAGAGCAGATGGTACGGATGGTTCCTTGGTAGCGAGAGCTCGGGACTCTGCGGGACTCCGATCAAAACGCGTGCATTTGGGAAGCTCATATGCTACCAACATCGTCCGAGTCTAGAGGATCACCAACATTGTTTGAGCTCAACCACCAAGTGTTCTGTTAATTGTTTGTCCGATGCTGATCAGCCCTCTTCGGACAGCCCCAAGTAGGAGCAGCCTTTCGAAAGACATCTCCATGCAAAATTCAAGTTTGATTACGTCCTGGTTTGGATTTCCCAAAGCTGCCACCATTGCCATAATGTTCAGTTCTTCCCCCATCCCTCGTGTGCGTCCTGCCCCATCTCCACCTCCCGAGGAGTCCTTGCAGCAGCAGCTGGAGAAGCGCCTCATCGCCACGGAACGGGAGCGCGATGCGGTGAAGCAGCGCTTGCAGATGGACTCCTGGAAGCCACATCGGACCGGGAACTTACGTAGACGACCTACGAACACAGCGCACCAAACGGAAGCCACAACGTGCCAAGACGGAAACCGGTACGAAAAGGCGAAAGAAGAAAGGCTTTTTCAATCCAAGTGGATGAAGCACTTGTACGATGGGTGAACAAAAAATCGAATTGCAGATCAAAGCCATTCTTGAAGACACCCATTCAACACCTGTTTTGATCCTTTTTGCGAGTCCCAAGATCTGTGTCAGCGGAGTTCCGCGCTCTGAGCACTAGCCAGCCTTAGATTCTGCCATGTTGGTAGGATAGAAGAAGCTGAAGCTGCCCGCCGAAGGACTGGTGTGTGGGTCTTAGATCAGACTGACGAGGGTGACCGGGCTGAATCACTTGGGCCCTGATTGGAGTCACGTTTGCTTCAGTGCTGGATTGTGGATGATTCGTCAGGATGTTTGCTGATTAGCTTGCGATAGAGCAACAGGTTTCCACTTTTATGTGGTCTGCACGGTCGAGGCGAGGTCTACACATGAAACTTCCTCACGTCGGTACGATGTTGTGTCCAGCCATCAACCTGAGTTATTTATGCCTTTCCCGGACGTAACCACACCGCCAAATCGAGGGAGAGTTCCGTGTGCTGGAGAAGCCCGTGGACCGCATGAGACGGCCCAGGCCAGTGCAGCCGTGCGACCCTGTGTGTTTTTTGCTCTGGGCCGATTGAAGAATATCATACTAATATGACTGATATATACTATATAACTATACATAGTATATATATATGATATGTAAGGGTGTTTATCTATGTCACGTCTATCTTTCACACCTTTGCTGCAGTTCTACGAACACGTACTGCATGTTGATGCCTTTCCACCACTTTGTCACATTTAACCTGTCACCGCGTGAAAACCTTATCCTTTGTTTTGCACGTCACAGAAACCAAATACAAGAACATGTTCCTTGGGATGAGAATGATGTTTGGGTGTGTAATTACTGGAATAGGTGCCGCCTGGCCAAATGAAACTCAAGACCACCAAGCTATTGGGCCAAGAGGGTCTCTCTATCTCAATACACATGCCCACCATGTTTCTTTTGGTAAGACAAGATAAGCTCCAAATTGAAATTCTTGGGCGAGTTTCTCCCCTACTTGGCCCTCCTACCTTTTTGTGTGTGTGTGTGTCTACTAAGCCAGTTCGGGACCCCCTTTCCAGATGACAAGCCTAATTCCATACCTTCATATGTTGCAGACAATTCTTCTGTGCTAAGGAGGAACCTCCTATCCAGCAAATTTCTGTAGGAACAACCTTTGATACAATTCGAATTTCTGGAATAGGATCAAGTATCCCAAGAATGCTTGAGGGAAGATAAATTGTCCATTTGTTTGGGTGCCTTTCTTACTGTATTGAAAGATTCGCATCGACAGAATTCGCAATCCATGTCGAACGTGCCCGGACACCCCGAAAGGCACGGCGCACAGCAACGGGACGTTTGGCGTTTCCAGCCACGGCAACGTGGAGCTGCTTGGATGATGGGGCTCGGCTCGGCAGTGTGTGGCAGCCCACGGGCTTTCAGCATCGGGTCTGACCTGAGCTTGGGAGGGCTGAAGGGGGAATGGTGGGAAGGGGTACGGTGAAAAACTGCTCCCAAGTCAGTGACTATAAGTGACTATAAATGACTGACGGACCCTAAAAATCCCTAAACCACATACTACATCATCGTGTTGGGAGGGTGGGACCCCCTCGGAGAATGGATCAACCAGGATGATAGCACATCAAACGCCTGAGCCGCTGGATGGAGTCGTCAGAGGCACCGGACTCCGACGCACGGGTCTTCCGACGCACGGAAAGAAGGCCTGTAGAGCTTCCCGTCGGCATAGACCTTCGCCTCCGGAACTTCGATGTCAAAAGAAAGGCAATGGAGGAAAACTGGGGGAACATGTGGGGCCACATACATCAGTTCCCAATTAGTGTATTTGTTTCTTTTATATACAATGGTTCTCGAGATGGTTGCTTGTGGCAAGCTCCAAGCCATGAACATCGATCCATGATGATGAGTTCATTCGAGAAACTCCGGGCGGTTTCCGGGACCACAGTGCTGCCTCAGGCCTTGGTCTTGCGGATGCGTCCAGGTGGAGACCGGAGCGGTGGATTTTTGGGCCTTGGAGGGCTTCATAGCGAGCTCCACGTCGGGCGTGGTAGAGTTGCAGTGGGAATGCAGTGGGGACTGTTGAACGATTCACCATTTGGGGGGGCTCCAAACATTGATCTAATATGATCTAATTGTGTCCAAGTAGGACCAGGCAGTTGCCTTGCAAGGCGCTGAGCTGGAGCTCGTATTCGGTGGCCAACCCATCGACCAATGTCGTGTTCGACTTGACTCGCACTCGACTCGCTCGACCTGCCAGGTCTTGACTCGCCACGCAGCAACCAGAAGTTGTATCCTGGTGACAGTTTCGTGGTGTCAGAGCAGCGGAAGGGTCCGGTGCCCGAGGAATTCTGGTGACCAAAGGGGGTGGCGGGAGGAGACCGGAGACCGGAGGAGATGGGTAAGCGAGCTCCCGACGTTTCCGAGCATCAGATGGCATTTGGGGAATTGTTCATGATTCTTCTAAACTTCCCGAACACTTGCTTCTCCTAGGTTCTTCTTCAAATAGATGTTCTCTTCTCATGGCTTCACTGAAAGAGTGGCAGAGACATACACGACTGCAACATGTTTGCAAAAAAACTCAGCCAGGTCAAGGCAAGTAGGCTGACGGTCCTGTAATTCTCCCAGATATGTTCGAGTTTGAGGTGCATTCACACCAGTTTGCCCGCGCAGTTTTACTCCCCCTTTCTTTCCGCTTTGCAACTTGATGGGATGGTTCATACCGAGAATGCAAGAATGTCATGACAATCAATAGCATGCCTCCAGCTTTGTAAGGGAACGAGCATGCATCAGCATCATCCCCCAGCAGCACAAACCTTACAAACCACGTGTTCAATCTTGTTCAAAGCTAATTATATACCAATTCCGCAGGGTGATGCGGTTCCGGCACACCACGGACTTCCCTGGGCAACAGTCACCAGTCCATTTCAAGCAAAGGCAAAGGATAAAAAAATTGTTGATTGTGAAGAAAGTAGTTGAGGTCCCTTGGCATCGGCGTCTAAACGTTAACTTTAAACAGATTGATTGATCAATTGAAAACTTGATGTCGAGATTTTGTTGGAAGGTCCAAAGCTTACCTGGTATATCCTGGCATCATGTTCGGCGCAATCGATCTCGTGGTGGTAGCAAAGTCATTTGTGAAGCTCAAAGGAGGGTTAATCGAGATGGGCCGTGCCACTACGTCGGACTGTTGCATCGCATTCAGATCTTCACCCTCCTCGCTTCGTCCTGCAGAACCATCCGTGAACTGTACCGAAGCATGCGAGGAAGGCGACCCAAACGCATGCGGGACCACCATGCGTGACCAAAAGCGCCATGCGCGACCGCCATGCGCGATGGGTGAGGTCCTTCTGACCTGGTCTTCTTGAAGTTAGCAGATGGTCGGGGCTGGGCAGCTGCCTTGGAAGTTGTTGCGCAAATGACTTGTGGAACTTCCAAGGGTGTGACTTCATGATTCTTCATAGCAAAAGTGCTTTTTACTTGGCTTACTTAAAACAAGAGTGCGAGAGGGGAAGAGGTGTTTGATCATGTTTGATCACGGTCTTTTTTTTACTTTGGGCTGACTGCTTTCGAGTTTGATCGGTTACTCAGGCCTTCAATCGAAGCCCGGATGTGGGCACGCTCTGTGTTCCGCAACTCGTTTTGCAATTGGCTACCGGATGCTATCGGAAGTTCAAAAAGCTGAAGGCTGTGGCCAGCAGATACCAGCAGTATGGGACCCCAAAACCACCCCGTGACAAAAAAACGACGTTAAATATTCTGGCACACCATTCCGGGGTAATGCTCGAAGTGAACTTCCGATTCTTGGGAGGACTGGCCATGACTGGCCTCATGGCCTCGAACACGGCAGCGACAGGCGACCTGCTCGAAAAGACCGTCTGGCACCTTACAGGCTACCTGAGGGTGCTCGTTTGCCTGGAAAGATCCGCCAGGATCAGGCTGGTTGGATCGGTGGAAAGGACAGGCTTTGTCGGGTCTTCGATGAGGTGGGGATGGGATCAAAGAGGATCAGGGAGATGACATCCCTGAAAGAGTGCATTTTGGGGGTGGCGTGATGAGGTTGTGCATGAGATCGCCGGCCCAGGTAGACCAATGTTGTTCATGTTTTGGATATGAGCTTGCGCAGCTGGGGTATGTTTGACCAGCTAAAATAAGACATGAGCCATCAAGTCAGGCAGCTTTTAGTGGAATCCCCCACCGAAATATAGCTCCTATTGGGAGCCGCGGAGCGCTCCCAATCCGCGACACACGGCCACACACGGCCAGAGGCCCTGCGCGCCCGCCCACGCCTTCCGGCCATTCCGAAGCCCGTGAGGGATTCGCGGGCGCCATGGCACTAGCGCCCGCAGGGGGCGCCATGGCACCCGGCCGAACTCGGCGTCGAATTCACCGCGCAGCAGAACGAACAAGCTAAACGAACCGTGTTGAAATCAAAGGAACAAGAACTGACCTAGGCCCTAGGCTTGGGATTCGTTGGGTAAGAGCATGTGCAAGTATTATGATACTCAGACTCAGACAAGGCCGCCCTGTGAGTTCCACACAATCCAATGTGAGTTCCACACAATCCAAGATGCACCGCTTGCATTGGCTTGCGCTAGAAGCGCAGCTTTGCATGAAGATCACACAGCGAAGTTGGTGAATCTTCAATTTGTGGCACGTACCACTGGAAGAATAACTTCCACGTTGCGGCACAACGAAATTGTGACGCAACCTTGTACGTGCCCATGAGAAGTTGCATTCACTTCTCTCATTTTTGATGCCAAGAAGCATCGCAAGAGCAATCATCGTTTGAAACTGTTTGCGTTTGATGAGCTTGAGGGGGTTCCAACGATACTGAGAAATGTTTTACAGTACTGTAAAGGGTTGTAGAACATGACCCCCCCTACAGTGTAGAACATAACCCCCTTGGTTGGCATCGTTTGTTGGTGCTCCAACATTACACTGTAGAGGCCAAAACTCTACGCACCTCCAGCAGTGCTGGCAGCGCGGTCGCCGGTACCTTGTCGGCGCAGGCGAGGGTCTCAGGTCTTTCGTTTTGGAGACAGCTCCGTTCAAGATAGCATGGCGGAATTGGATGGAATTGGAGAGTTTGGATTTGGCCCTTTCACGCGAGGTTGTGTTTAACATACTGTGACGAGGGAAGTGGAGAGTTTGGATGAGTCTATAGATTGGACAAAGTTTATGTCGGTTGGTACAAGTAGCAGGAAAAGTAACATTGAGCTCTCAGCAGGTGCGCATTTTGATTGTCCATTTTGCGGCAAGTAGAGAAATGTAGAGAACAGATTGGATTGTGGCTAGAGGTTTCGTTTTCTTCAACGGAGCAATGTTGTATAAAGTGGTGCAATCACAGTCGACCTTGCAAGCTCCCTACTACCCTCCCCCCCGCATTACTTGTTGGACGGAATTTCTTGTGCCAGGCGGAGCAGTCTTTGCACTCCACGAGATCTTCCACTCCGTTGCAAAGAGCTGACAGCAGGTTCTGTTTGGTCAATTCCCGGGCGTGTCACGCGTAGCGTCGTGAAAGGCAAGGGCCCCCAAGAGAGTTCTTTTCAATGGGTATCAATGAATGGGATTGCCCTACTTAATTGCCAAGTGGTTCAACATTGTTTGACCGTTTCATGATGTGGCACAGATTTTGCGGTGACAAATCAAAAAGGATCGACGGTACAAAAATAATGAACTGCAGGTAGGAAGCCACGGCCGATTTTGTCAAGAAGCCCATAAACCCAACAAACGATCAATAGCCAAATGAGCGCGTTGTTCCTGCAGGTGGATGCTTATTACTTCGAGCCAGACAATGTCACACATCCCTGGTGGTCTTTCCCCTAGAAAATGGTAGGGGTAGTGGTCCTTTAGAAGAAGTTCCTTCTTTAGAAAACCAGCGCGCCAGTACAAACACAGAAGTTGTACCAGGTAGTTCTATAGAACATGGCCTCTAGTTTTCAATCTTCATTTTCTAGAGACTTTTCGTTTGAAAAAAAAGAATATATAATATATAAACGTTTTTTGTCCACAGGTAAACTGGACGCTGGCAGGGATGTCGGTGTGCCTTTTCAGCTTCCAGTGTTCATTAAAGTCTTGCAGTTTTCGTGCTCATATTGTCCTGTCCATGGGCAAAGTCCGCATCATGCAGGTTACCCCATCAAGTGCAATCAAACAATTCAAAATCAATGTGCTAAAGCTTCTCGATTCAATGCTGTATTTGAGAGCTTCAACAAACCACATCGCAAAACTGATACCCAACCAACAGCCCCTTGCTGAGCCCGGTCGGTTCTTTTGTTTGAGCCTGGCCAGATCGTCCGTGCTGAGAGCTTCTGGAACGTTGACCCTGAAGAAGTAGCGGCGACTTTTGGAGCTTCCAAAAGGGATGGCTCCAAGGCGGCCGAGGGCTGAAGGATCGACCCCTCTGAGTCCCAAACGAGGACGCCGGGGATCAAAAAAGAAACGTGTGAAAGCGGTGCTTCGAAACAACGGAAGTGCTCCCCTATTGCTTTCTCATGTGAGATGCGACAACAGAACGGCTGAGGCTTTTCACTCACCGAGGTGGAACAAAGCAAAGCAACTCCTGTTAGGAGGGCAGTGTTAATCACGACGCACCGCCAAGGCACCCGTGTGAATGTCGGGCGGCCGAGGTCAGGCGAGAAATGGGCAGGCTCCTGGGCAACGAGTAGGAGACATCCCGTACTGCTGGGAAACGTTGAGGCCCTCGCAGTTGGTTGCGACATGCCAGGAACTGGTTGCAGTGGCAGGATCGCATTGGGCCTGCCATGTATATACCTAGCGTTTCGCCTCTCCCTCCCTCCGGCAGATGCTTTGTTTTCACGATTGGAGCTGGATGATGAGTTTCTGTGCCCCCATCCGCCAAGCCGAGCTCAAGACCTGGGTTTGCACGGGTGAATGTGATCGTTTGCGATCGCCTTGGCCTTTGAGCGTTGCCGGTGGCTGTCGCCTTGGGGTGTGATTTATCAATCTCTCGTTCTTTCCTTTGCTTGAGCGGCTCTTTTGCGGTGCTGGGAGAAATACATACTTAAAACATCTTAAAACATAGCATAAATAACTATATTTATTTATCTATATTTTAATATTAATTAATGTATTTAATGTATTTAAAAAAATAAACAAAAAAAAAACGAATTAAACAAATATACAAGCATGCCCCTATTTATTTCTATTCAAAATCGACGATGATATTATTATAAAATAAGCAATGAATATTAATGAAGGATGTGTTGTTTTATTGGAGGTGAATGGAGGTTTGTTATGAATTTTGAATTTAAACAAATAAAAACAATAAATATGAAATGTATAATATAAAATAAAAATAGAAAGGTATTATATATTTGAAGATTTTTGTTTGATTGTAGATTTTTATTTATAAATGATTGTTTAATTAAATTCGTTATGTTTAAGGATTATTTTTTAATTGAAGAGCGATGATTATCGATTTTAGAATAATGGAAATATATGTATATTATATATTTATGAAAGGTAATCGATAGGTTAGATTTGAGTTTTTTTGGAATGAATGAAATGATATGAAATGAATTAAGGGGTGATGGTATTTAAAAATGAATTTTGGAAAGGATGATTTTAAAAAAAATTAAAATATTATTTTAGTTTTAATTTTGATAGTTATTTTTATATATTTTTATGTATATTCTTATTTTTTTGATGATTTGATTGTTTTGGAATGTTTGATGAAGTGTTGTATGGCTATTAATTATATATTTTGATTTTTTTATTCGTTGAGATATTTGGTCCTAATTTGAGGGAGTATAATATTATATAAATTTGCAATAGATGTTGAAGATTTTATTGAGACCTCGTTTAGTAACGGGAATGTCTATGCTATCCCGGTATTATCCCGGAACGAAAATTTATGAGGTATGGGCGACATTTGGCTACGATTTAATTGTGGATTTATTTAGATGTAAGAAAATCAAGAGGAATTTTTATAGAGCCTGCTAATGGACCTATAACCTTGGCTGCACACAATATTATGGAAAGGACTTTTTGGTATTCCGTTTAGGATTCGACAATAGTTGTTTTAGGAGATGAAGTTGTCGACTATATCTCAACCGATTAGATTAGTTGATTTATTGAATGTGTTTTGTTGGAACGGCCTTCTATTGGACGAATGGGTGCCCTGACTGACACAGACATTGTATGATGTTGTTATCTTGCAGGAAACGGGATGGCGCTTTACTAATTAACGGGTATTAGGTGATTGGTACATGCTGCACTCACATGGCCATCGTTCTATTGTTCTTTGTATGGTCCGCCGACGTTTGTTGCGCCTTGACCAGTTGGCATGGGCTGACCTCTGTCTAGGCAGGCTTATACATGTCTGGCTCCATTTAACCTGGATTCATGATGTTCTTTGTATTTACCAGCACTCTTAGAATTTATTGAAAGATCGTCAAATACTTCTCTATGATAGGATGAAGGTTTTTGAGGCCATCAAACAATGCATTCGACATGTTCCGAAAAGCCATATGTTGCTCCTTGCAGGTGATTACAACACCCCACTGACTGCTGATGCACCCCACGTGTATTCCCATGATCCTAAATATGGTTCGGCCACCCGGTGCGATAAACATGAATTTCAATCTATGATTCGTGAATTGGACCTAGTTGCTGTTCACAGTCAACGTCATTGGACTCCAATGTTTAAACACGGCCATGTTTAAACACGGCGACCATTCCAGCCGAATCGACTTCATATTTGCGCGCCGCCATCAAGTACAGTGGACCAAATACCGTGCCCAGGTGCTGACTCGGTTCGAACGGACTGTTGGATGCTGTGCACCGGTGCACCATCCATTGGTCATATCCTTACCCAAATGGTTTGCACCTCCAAGGATAAACCCTCCCATCACTTCGATCGACCTCCATCGACTGAGTCTTGAATATCAATCATAGACTGAGAATTGGCATTGCTTCGAATCTGAAGTCATGTCCACAGTGCACAAACTCACCACCAAACAGGAGTCACGTGATCCGACTTCCACATATCTCCAGGTTGAACAGGCCGTTCGACAGTTATGCACAACTCATTTCCCACGTGTTAGTCAGCCTCGCATCATGTGCTCCCAGGTCAAATCATTGGCAGCTCAAATGTGGTATGCCAGACGCCAATTGTTCCGTTTCCGTTCTGTATCGTTGCAGGCCATCTTCCGGGTTTGGTCATGGGTCATTCGATTCGAGAGGATTCATCATGCCATTCGCCGACAGAGCTGACACAATCGTAGGACTCGATTAAACACTTTCCTGGCTGAGAGTGTCCCACTAGTCCTTCAGAATAGATTGCATGACTGGTACAAGCGAGTGCGTACTCTGT